GGGAACTGACCGATTTCTTTATTCCTCCCAGTTACGTTGTTCCTTCCTCCCTACTCTAGGTTCTTGCTCTCCAAGGTCAAGTGTCAAGAAATCAGGCTTCCTTGGAATGGAACCAGCAGGGCCTTGTCTTATTCTTATGGGTTCCCAGGTACAGGCAGGTTCTTCTCTCTCTGGTGGGTGGCCATGAGGATCATAGCAGCCTCTAGCAGTCGTCTTCTTCTTCTTCTTCTTCATCATCATCGTCATCATCATCATCGTCATCATCGCCACCACCACTACTGTTTCTCATAACAATAGCAGCCAGTAATTACTGAGCACCTGTAAACTGCACTGGGGAGTTCTGACTTATTTCAAGGTTCTCAGCCACCTCGGAAGGCAAGTGCACCGTTGAAGGCAGCCAATGCCTGGGAAGGAAGCCAACCCAGAAGCCACGGTCATTTGTAGGAAAGGGAAGTGATGGTTTGGGAACGTGGAAGAAGAAAGCTCCAGGACATGGAACTATTGGGAGTAGAACGGGCTAGAAATAAACACCTGTCAGTCTCCAGCTTTGTGCAGTGGGCCTGGTCTCTACCTCCACGCTTGGGCCTGACTCCCAACCTCAGAGGAAGGGGGACTGCTGGTCTCAGAGAGGGGGCGGCGGCCTGCCTTAGCTACCATGCGGGAGTTGGCATGCAGGCCCGGAGAAGTCTCCTTATTCCAGGGCTCTGGATGCCACCAAGGGGTGCGCTCTGGGTCCAACACGTCAGGTAATAGTTACTGGTTGTTTAGTGTGTGTAAATTCTGTTCCCCTCACTGGGCTGACTCACGAAGGAGTGTAAGGCTGTGAATGGAAGCGTGAGCTTGTTCCTGGGGTCAGGTCCAATGAGGCTATGGTTTTTTTAAAACACTTTACGTTGAAATAAGTTTACCTTTATAGAAGTCACAGATAAAAGAGTGAGTTCCCTTATATCCTTGACCCAACACAAAGAGCTTTAAGCAGAGGAGAAACATACAGAACTCTGTGTGCAAAAGGACTGCTGGAAAAGGCAAAGGGAGGCATTAAGACCAGGTACAAGACTGATACCCACATCCAGGCAGGGTCAGTCAAGGCCTGGTCTGCCTTCTGGGACCAGTGATGGAAGCCCTTAGGCTCCAGGACTAAAGATGATGGCCACCAGCAGCAGAGTCAGGTGGGGCACAACCCTGCCCCTGGCTAGTGAGACCTCAGGCAAGTGACTTGACATCTCAGTGCCTTTGTGCCTTCCTCTGTCAAGTGGGAATGCGCCGCTGCCCAACTCACAGAGGCTGCTGTGAGGAAGAAGAGAGCTCATCAGCTACAGGCTTGGAGCAGAGCCTTGACATCCACATAATGGGGCTTGTATTATGAATGCTGTACCAAGGGCCTCCAATGGCCATGATAATCACAAGCAGTTGGCACCTGCTGAGCACCTCCTATATGCCAGTCCTGGGTGTAGGCACTGCATGCACCATCTCACTTCATCTCCTCAACCACCTTAAGTGGTAAGGACCGTCTCAATCCCACTATGTAGACAAGGACACCAAGATCTGCAGAGAGCAGGGATCAGCTGGGAAGAGGCTCCGCAGGCCTCTAACCTAGATGCTCCACTCCAGGTCTGCATTTCTCACACCCTATACCACACTGCCCTTGGGCACAGCGCAGAGACCCTGGCCCTTGGCGAGTGACAGCCCCCACCTCTGTCTTCCGAGAGTGGACACACTCCTCTGGGTGAATAATGCTGCTCTGTTTGTTTTCTTTTAAAAAAAGAAAAGTGTCTCCATTCTTTACAGTCACACAGTTAATCTCTCAATTTACAAAAGAGTGAGTCATGTGACTGGATTCCACAAAAATTCTCTCTCCAGGTTTATGATTTTACAGAAAACTCCAGGGAAAACCGCCTGGAGCGAGTTAAAACCAGATCAGCCATAAACCATGTCCTGGTACAGCCTCACCAAGCCAAGACTCAGATTACTCATTAAATACATGATAAATATTCGCTTCAGATCAGCAGGAAGTGGGGGGGGGGGCACACAGGGGTAAAAAAAGAAAAACTTTTTTGCTTCACAGGGGAAAAAACCCTATTATAAATACAGACAGTTGCAAGCTCCAAATTAGGTGAACCCAGAATTGGAAGACAGTTTTCAAAGTTACCCCTTTAGGTATTTTTTCAGTAAGGGGAAAAGGTTGCTCCTCAAAGCTCTTTCAGGGAGACCACAATAAAGGGCTGTGACATGTCCAAGGTGATACTGGGGTGCCCAGACAGTCCCCAGGGAAGAGAGGCAGCCCCCCCAAGCTGGGAGAGGACCCTGGCCCCAGGCCTTCCTCAGACTGCCAGCCCTTCTGCTGCCCATCTCCTGGACTTACGGCCTCTCAGAAACCTCCTAATTCTGACATCTGGGGTGAGGCAGACAGGGCTCCAAATTCAGCCTGGGCCACTCAGGAACTCCATGAAAAACACAAGGCACATCACACGTTTCAGTCTCAGTGTCCTCTGTAGAAGAATACCCTACAAAGCACAGCTGCTGGGTGGACGTAAAGGTATAAACCTATAACATTGCCAGCAGTGCTAACAGCGCCACATGAGTCACAGATCCAGGTGATGTCATCATGATTACAGTGATGGTAGAGAGTAAAATTAATACATTTTATTTTTTTTTAAAAAGAGGCATGTATTTTTATTTATTTGTTTGTTTGTTTTTGTTTGTTTATACAAGCACTGGGTACAGTCAGAAGAAGCGCGGGAGGGTGAGAGAATTCACCAGAGCCAGAGCGGGGAGCAGAGCAGGCAGAAGGACCGAAGTACACTGCTGAGGGGAGCAGCAGGCGGCAGGAGAGGTCTGCATGCCATGTGGGACCCTCTTCTGGTGGCCGGGGAGCAGCTGGGGATCGAACCAGCGCTGCAGAGGCTGCAGGCAGCTTCGCGACCCAGCGCTCAACTGCTGCACCACCGGGGAGGCCCAAAATTAATACATTTTAAAAAAATACCCAAATATGTTCTGATCCTCATCCCCTCCTGCCCCCACCCCCACCACCCCGAAAGATTTACTTGGTACAGTACTTCGCAACATAGAATCTGGAGTCAGCTGGCCTGGGGTCAAACCCTGGCTCTGCCACTTACAAGCCATGTGACATGAGGAAGTGTCCCTCCAAGGCTTGGTTTCTTAATCTGTCAAATGGAGATAATAACAGGACTTACCTCACAGGGTACTCAGTACTCGCTCAGTTAACATATGCAAAGCTCTCAAAACAATGCTGGCAAATATTAAATGCTATATAAGTATTGGCTGTATGCGAATATCATTTATTAAAATGACTTATCATTTATCTTGAGCTTTTTAATTATTGTTTATTTAGGCAAGTCCCGTCTTTCCTCTGAGCCCCAGATTTCCTGGCTATAAACTGAAGACTCTGACCAGGGGTGTTCTGAGGACCCTCCTGGTTCTGAAACTCGTAGATTCTGTTTGTGTTACTTCTGTCTTTGCTCCACGCTGTCCTCACAGGTGTACTGAAGTCCACTCTGACCAGCTGGGCCTCAGGCACCATGCCAGGAAGCAGGCCTTCTTGTCTACAGACACAGTCTCCTGGAGCAGCAAGGGCATGCTTGCACACCTGGGAATACCTCCACCTCTGCAGCCTTGCTTCCGACCTAACTGCAAGCTCCATGAGGGCGGCTGCCAGCTTTCTGGAGCCCTTCTGTGGCCCCACAGCACATGCAGAAGGGCAATATGGCTGAATGCTCATCGAGTCAGTCAACTGTTTAAACATGGAAAGGAACTGCACTGCCCATACTGAGAGAACCACTCTCATGAATGGAGTCAAGGGAATCATGTAGTCCAAGCATGGCAAAGGGGCTTCATTTTCAGTAACATTCTAATCAATTAATAGCAACTGCCTGCAGCAATGTATGGAGAAAGATTCTGGAGCCAGAGCAGAGCTCAGCTAGGAGGGGTGCTGTGATGGATTACTGATGTCTGCAGCCAGCAGGGTAAAGCAGGAGGTGGTAGCATGCGCGCCCCTCCACTCTCATCCAAAACCCTTTTCTTAAAGATAAAGAAACTGAGGTCTCCTGACCCTCAAAGTACCCCTTTCCCTGTCACCGCATTCTCATGTGTAAACATAATTCTTGTGAAAAAAGGAGCTATGGTCTTTCAGATCTTGGAGTAAAAAGAGACACCAATGAGGAGAAAAGGCCAGAATCAAAAGAAATACACAGAGCAAAAACTACATGTAAAACACAAGGCTGACTCTGGTTGTGAAAGGATTACACAAGAGCGAAGTGGATGCGCTAAGAAAGATTTTTTTTTTTTCTTTTTAAAGTCAGAAAAGTCTGGAACACATGCTCAAAGTAGAAATCTTACAAATTCCTATTGCAAAATAACTCCTGGTCAGCCAACCACAATCTCTATAAATATATCACAAGATCAACAGCCCAGGCAAATAGGGGGAGGGGGAAATGACTGCATGCATTTTTAAAAAATCAAAATAGTTCCTCTCACAGTTGGATCGGATGGAGTTGCCTGTTTTCTTACGAAAATGAGAAGCCCGTGAAGAAAAGAAAGATGGTAATTCTACACACATCCCAATGAATGCCTGCTGAGAAATTTGGACAACCAGACTATTTTGAAATTATTCTACAATTCTGATGCTTTGGGTTGCTTTTTGTTTTTTGTTTTTTTGGCAGAAGAAAAATCAATCTGTTGTCCTGAAGTCACCAAGGCAGTCGTGATCTTCCAAAGGCTTTGTAGGGTGGGAAAAGCCCAAAGCTCCAAGGGGCCTGAAACGTGGGGTATGTCCTATAGCAACTATCCTGGAAGACCAGATAAACAGAAACCACACTAGGTATTTAAAGTGGAGGCGATTTAATGTAGGAACTTGAGTACCAAGGTGATGAATGGGCAGAGAAGTCCAAGAGGAGATAGAAAGGCAGCCAAGGATTAGCATATGAAGGAACTCAGGTTACCATCTCGACGCCTGGGGAAGTGAGGGGAACAGAGGGTGTTACCAGAAGTTGAGGCTGATCACAAAAGCCGCCAACAGGAGCAGATCGTAGAGGGAGGACCTGGAGGCACAGAAAACACACCACAAGAGCAGCAAATGAGTGGGAGGAAAATCCCCAGGCTTTCCCTTCCTCCGCCTTCCAATCTCCCTGCTGTGCATCCTTCCAGCTAAACCGTTAAAAGACCAGAGAGCCCAGAGAGCCGCAATGGCACCTGGGAAGGGTAGTTTCCTGCAACAATGCACAGCAGAGAAAAGAACAGGTCCCACCAACAGATGATCAGCTCAGATTAGGGAACCTGCAGGGCAGCAACCACCTGAAGGCAAGGTCCTGCAGAGCTCACCACGAGGTCCGGGTCTGGACTGTAACTTCCTCACAAGCAGAACTATCTTCCTTGGTTGAGTGCTGAAGGGACCCCACAAGTCTGAGAAAGGGAAGCCTGCCCATCCAATCCCAGGCCCCAACATGGGAGACCTTTGCATGGCCTTCCAGGGTATTTTTGCTTGCAGCAAAACAGAATCTATTATTGACAGAAAACTCCTAACAGAGAGGGCAAGATGTCCCTCATCTACCACTGAGCAGACCCCAGCACCCAGTGACGCTCTAGAAGCATCTCTTGAGCAGATCTAGAACACTATGTTCACCGGCATCAGGAGCAGAGGTTCTGCTGGGGTGCTGAGGGGGAAACAGTTCCAGGATGCCAGGACTTTCCACCTTCAAAACCCCTCCAGATCTACACTGGAAATCTGTGGTATTGCTTGTAAAACCATGCCCTAAGAGAAAGTAGCAATCCTGTCCCATAGGACAAAGACTCAAGGCTGAGCGCCTCTGTGTCCAGGCTGATATGAAGGCTTCGTTTCCAACTATCAATACATTGGGCAAAGAAAGGGCCTCTCCCCTTCCCTTGAAAGCTCCACTCCTACTTCCCCCAGGCCACAGGGCCCATCTCCCTCCCCTACATTCATAAAGCACTTATTCCCTGGGTCATTCGATGATATTGATCAACCAGCTGGTAGACTCCATCATCTTTTTATGACCTGTCTTCCCAGCTGCACCATACATCTTTCCAGGACAGGGGCTGTGCCGCTGGATTCCCTAGTGCCCACCAGATGGCCCAGCACACAGAAAGCATCCACACGGCAACCTTAAAGGGGAAGATGATCCAGATTTCCAGAAACCTGAGTCTGGAGTGAGGCAGGAATAACACACTCATTCTACCAGTGCCCCACATTTCTTTAGTGATTGACAGATGTCCATATCCATTACTTCACTTAATTCTTTACAAGGTAGGAGTCAAGATTTCCATTGAGGAGCAGAGGGAATGGAGGTTAAGAGACTTTACCCAAAGTTGCATAAATTACTGGAAAGGCTGAGATTCAAGTCCAGTGAATCTCTTCTTCCAAGACAAATACCTGGTTCCTTTCATCTGCTGGTTCCAGTTTCCCTTTCCAAGATCTCATGTCTTGCTTTTCTTTCGTGAAATAAATTAACTTAATGAAACTGTTAAAGTAATAAAAGTTAATAAATGTAAGGCCTTAGAACAGTGCTGGCCTGTAAATAATGGCTACCATTGTTAGTGTCACTGTTAGTGTCACTATTTCTTCATCACCTTTAAACTCATCTCAAAGAGTCAACATACCACAACATCAACAGTCTGCAATCTTCACAGTCAAGGCAGCACAATATGGAATATGCCTAAACTTCATCCAGACTGGGAAATTGCAGGAAATCCTACAACTTAACAATTAAAAGGAGACATTTGAAGACACTATGATTCTCAGAAGTCTACCCAAAGCTCTGACCACTCCTGTTCGAGGCAACCACCAACACTTTAGTCAAAACTAGGTTTGAATCTCCTTTCCTGACTGACTTCATTAGAGAACATGTGCACAAATTACAGCATTGCCTCATCAATGCAGTTTTCTGAGACAGAAGGTCTATTGTATGAAGGGAAAATAAAAGTCTAGGGTGGAAGTAAGATGCATTGTTAGAATCCAATCAGCAAGGCCCTTTCACAGGTGCTGGCTTTATATCACTCCTGCACCAGGCCCATGTGGAGCTCTGTATCATGGGCACGGATGTGTTACAGGCCAGGCATGTAGAAATTAGTATTCTAGCCACCAGCTCATGATCCAAAGTCTTTGGGCAAATAAGACAAATGAGCAGCTACCAACCTCAGCTAAAATAGAGGATGAGAAGGCAGTACTGTGGCTGAACTGTCATGTCAACTCTCCCAAATGGTGTTCTTCTCCAACAAACTCCGAGGCAGCTGTGTGCCCTCTGCTGTCACATCCACTGCCACCTTCCAGGAATTTTAACTTGGCACTGTCAAAACAGCCTTACCAATTCTCATGCCCTTTGACTACTTTGGGGAACAATTCTGCAAACATCATACAAAAAAGGAAAATGGATTCATGCATAAAGATGTCCAGTAGGTTAGCTATAATAAAAACTAAGGAACAAACATTATGCACAAGGATGTAAACAAATAGCTACTTACAAAACCATTAGAATGGATGCTCGCGAATGGTAGAGAGCTACATGAAAAACACCAATGCACTGAGAAGGACAAGCGCAGAAAACAATACACATCCCTTTACACAAACACACACTATGTGCACATACATATATCCCTTAATTGCTTGCCCTGGAAGGCTCAAAAATGGAGGTTATTCTCCTCTCCTTCCTATTTAGCTTTCTACCAATACTACATTTAAGGAAAAACTCAACCTACTCTATAAAGGCTGCACATCTACAAAGACAGGAGTTGGGACAAGATGATTTCCTGGGATGCTATGTCCTTCTTAAGGCTGAAGGTCTGGGACTGTATGTACAACACTTCTATCTACAGTCTGCAGTCAAATGCTCTACCCCTGAGATACAACCCCTGCACTTACAGGGGATCCTCTGAAGATGTGGTGACTGAGCAGATATGGAGCAGAGTCCAGGCACACCTGTCCACGGGGAAGTTCAGCACTCACTGCATTCAAGATCCACCTGGCAGCTGAACAAGATGACCTTGAGCATCCCTTTGCAAGTAACTGAGATCGCCTCTTTCTAAGACGCTTGGACAGTGGTGTGGTGATCTTTCAGACTATTGCTTTTTTAAATACACTGGACACTGAGACTGAGGTTTTTACACTGTATGTAGTTGCACCACAATGACCACAAAACAGCCCATGTGTACTGAGATGCTACTATGTGCCAGTGACGCTTGAAAGACTCCTTAAACATGCTATCCATCATCCTCATAACAGACTGTTGATCCATGTTACAACTGGGGAAATGGAGGTCCTCAGAGAAGAAGTGAGTTGTGGCTGTAGCAAAGATATTGCAGTCCTAGTCCTTCTGGATCCTTCTGAATCCAAGTGAGAGCACTCATGTGTGAGCAGTCCAAGCAGGGGGCATGGCCTAGAACGTGACTGTATTCTTGGTATTCTTTAATAGACCATCTCATTCTGTTCTCACCACTTCACTGTTGCCAACTTTCTGGACCTTCACTGAGTTCCTAGTACTATTGTGATTCACAAGGAAACTGAGGATCAGAGAGTCAAAGTCTTATTACCAAAATCACACAGCTAGTACACAACAGGGTTGTTGTATTTGAACCCAAGCTTATCTGGCTCAAAAGATCATGTACTAGACCATTGTGCCATGCTGACTCCCCCAAAATGAAATGAAATGAGAGCGTTCTAAGGAGACAGGCTGTACCACAATAAAAGAAAATAAAACAATCAGAGCCACTGAGCTTTCCGGTGGGCTCCCTGGGGGAGGTGTGTCATCAACGAGTGAACAGGCATCTGGTGAAAAAATAAGCAGTGGCTACAAGCAAAAGAATGGATCAGCTGGGGTGGAAGAGGGAGGCAGTGAGAGTGGAATGAAAGAGGTGGTGATCCTAGCAAAGAGATTCCAGTTCTAGATGCTTCTGGGAAGATTGCAGCCCCTCCTAAAATTTCTTCCTATTTATCTAGCACTTCTTGTCCTCCATATTTAAGGGCCACCATCTTTTAGCAAATTGTTGCAGACCAAATATTTCATTTCCTTTCTTCCTCCCTTCCTGGCTTCACAAGTGTAGTAAAAAGTTAATGAATCTATAAATTGCTCACCAGCTTAAAAAAATAGAAAAAAAAAAGTTAATGGAAATTTTAATGAAAGCGCCCGGTCCACAGAACTGATGGCAAAGCCAGGGCACTGCATGGCCAAAACCAGGAACCATGAAAGCCTGAAAATGGGCTTCCAACCTTGACAATGAAAGATGAGAAAGTGTCTCTCCGAGCTTGGCAGTAACAACCACCCCTGGGTTGTCAAATGGGGAAAGCCCATTTCTGAGAAGAGGAATATGGCACAAAACCATACTTGCTAGGGAGCCTGAAGCCCAGATTTGGGACTCAGCTCCAAAGGTGGGCAGAGTCACAGCACAAGAAAAACTGTCATGTCCAGCTGGAGTTCCAGGAGTCTATCCGCCTGTTAACTGCCTGAAATCCCCTCTTCTGGTGAGGCTACAATCAGGCGGGGGGGGGGGGGGGGTGCAGATTTTGGAAAGGTGTCCCCTGGGTATGCTCCCCTTTTCAACCTTTACAGACAGTTTCTGATAACCCTTCTCCTGCATAGAAAGGGAAATAGAACTACTGCCACTTTAATCAGGTAAGGAAAGGGAGGCACAGAGCAGTTAAGTGACCACCTCAAAGTCTAGAGCTTCTCCATCCCCATCACAGCAGGTGGATACCCAAGGTCAGCACTCATGAAAATCAGCCAGGCTTCCTTCCAAAGACTCCACTCGATCCCCTTTGCTCCAGCAGCTCCTGTCTGCAGCCTGTTTGCTCGAAAATACAAGTCTGATCCTGTCATTCTCCTGTTTAAACCACTCCCTCCCGCCCCCTTTGCTGCCACGGTAAAAACTGGGCTCCTCAGCCCTCACAAGAGCAATCCTCACACCTAATGATCGGGCTAAACCTAGGCGCTTGGGCCTACTCCCTTGCCCACTGGTGGCTAATTCTCCTCCCCACACTTATACTCTCATCCTAGACATCACCACCAGGAAGCTTCTTGACATCCCCACATGT